GCCACGGTGGAGACGAGGGAGCTAGGAGCCAAGACGGAGCCGATGATTCGGAGGACCGGGGTGAAGTACGGGACTCGGAGGCGGGAGGTGGAGACAGGGGATCCTCACGCCAAGCCGAGCTAGAGACTGGAAAGCCGAATGGCGCTGATTGAGGGTGAGCTGAGGGACTAACAGGCACCACCGGAGACTGAGCTGAGGAACAGGCTGGCATAAGAGGCAGGAGAGGGAGGCTGGAAGGGATCTTAAGAGTTATAGGGAGCTCAGGAGTTGCGGGAGCGCTGGGCGGAACCAGCAGAGACTCAGGAGAGCTGAACGGAACCAGCGGAGACTCAGGAGACACAGAAACGTAGGGAATTACCTCCCCAATCCAGTCCATTAAATCCTCTTTAAACATGTCCATTAGTTCCTCACAGTAATGTCCAATAACCAGTTGCAGCTCACCCTCAGCGGCGGGAGTGTGGGCGGGACTCCTCTCCAAGCCCTCGAACTCCACGAGCACTCCTTTAGGCACTTGCGGTGGTGCCGACTCACACACCTGGTCAGACGTCTCATGAGGCTCCGGCTCCGGGGCGATTGGCTCGTGGGTTCTTGCGCTGGCTCAGGCTCTCCGTTTGCAGTGGGAACAGGCAATTGCTCCATGCAGTGGGATGACGGCTGGCTGGTCTCTGGTACAGGAGTAGGGCTGAAGATGTTAAAGGACAGAACACAACAGGGAGTATAAATACTAAAGCAAACGAGGGATTGAAGACATGATTGAATGAACACAGGTGAACAGAATGACATAATCAGGACAACGAAGGAAAACTAGGTCAAAGGATCAAAACAAGGCAGGAGACCAGTGGTCTGTAGCACGAAGCCGGTTTGGGTTTTCACCCAAGTAAATTCTTGTTTAGTTTGAGCAAACTCTGAGTTTTCGGGCTCAAGAAGATGGGTTGGTTCTGAGCGGGTTTCGTTGCTATGGTAACTTACGCTACACGGCTACCCTACTCCGTTTTATTCTGGATAAAGATAAAGATAATCAGCTGTGAGCGAAGTGACATATATCTGATACAATGAAGCCACTTCCCTGTATCTCTCGCTCCAGATTAAAGCAGTTTACAGTCAAAGAATTTTAGAGACAAAATTTCCCGACTTTTGCAGCTACTTATTATATTTATATTATATTAATTGTAATTGTTTATAATTCATAAAATATATTCATTTAATCATTATATGATGACAATTAATTTCAATATATATATATATAGATGAGCTTTAATATATCCAACTTTTAAAATTACTAAACTTATGTTTTCTTTTTAAGCTCTGTGTGAAACTATATATAAATAATACATTGTTGATTCCTTTGTATATTTTTTTCTGCTGCGTTCTCAAACTTTTTCTGCAGCAGAAGTGTTTATTCCTGCCTTGTAATGCATTTAAATTTATTAAATTTTTAATAAAGACCTCTTAATCTTCAGCAGAAAAGTGTATTGCGCTGACTCTCGTGAGAAGTGAATCCAGCTGACGCTTTGCTGATGCTCTCCATGCTCTGTGTGATTGGCTGTTTGCTGCCCGTGTCACGCTTTCAGGTGCATGCGCTCCAGAGTTAATCACAAAATCTGGTTATAAATCTGAGTTGTCAGAGAACGTTTATATCGAGCCTTGTGAGCCTGCTGATCCTGAACAAAACCAGTATGGCTTTATCGGGTTTTGTCAACTCAAAACTTACTTTGCAACTCTGAGTTTGTTCATCTCGCTTCGTGCTAAAGGCCACAGGAACTGGGAAAAACACAACTAAAAAGTCCACAACCATAACACCGACATTATCAATATGAATATTAAAATCACCCAGGATGATTACATTTGAGGACACAGAACAAAGAGAGGTCAAAAACTGAAAGTTCAGTTCAATAATAGAACTGGTCTCAGTTAAGCGGGGGAAATCAAACTTACAGTTGTGTTTTTTAACCCTTAGAGGGCCAAAAGTTACGTAGTGTACCTTTAACAGAACAAAACTTTTGCCAAAGCATATTTTTATTCATATGCAGTATATCTGCATCACCAAGTATTGCTATTATTTATATCGCCACGTCTTGATCATTTTAAGAGCTGCACTCAACTCATCGTTCTTTGTCAATATCTTGGGTCTTTCAGGTCAGTGTTCAGTACCCACAGTGCTCTGCTGTCCTGGACATGATAATGGATGCTACCGTGGGTGTTTTTGTGATGAGGTTTGCCTCACCATCGGTGACTGCTGTCCTGACTACAATCAGACATGCTTTGGATGTAAGACTAAATACTCTTAACACAAATCATTCATCTAAGACGGGGGTAGGCAAGTTCGGTCCTGGAGAGCCGCTGTCCTGCAGAATTTAGCTCCAGCCCTGAAAAAAAATGCGTCATCTTTCTATAGCCTTAGTAATCCTGAAGACATTGATTAGCTTGTTCACGTGCATTTGATTAGGTTTGGAGCCAAACTCTGCAGGACAGCGGCTCATTCATCTAAGATATACTGATGCATTTAAAAAGTCAAATTTTAAAATCACAATACTTTAAAGTCACAGAATCTAATTCTACATCATCTTCCTCATCTTTATAATCATTAGCACATTCACAGCCTTCATCTCCATCCTCACCACTACCAACATGGAGCACAGCACACTCACCAACTTTGTCATTATCATCATCTAGATTGCCAGTTACCTCAGCACCATCATCATCCCCACAATCATCAACCTCTCCAAAATTGTCATCATCTATAGAACCACTATCAGGTGACTTTTAAACTGTTTTAATAATTAATTTAATTGGCCATTTTTTCACGTTGCACATATAAGTCTGTTCACAACAGGGCAGAACATCACAAGGGATGAAATTTTGAGATTTTGTAGACATAATGTTTAATGATGAATAAACTTTTAATCAAAAGTATGCAAGGCTAGTAGAGGGGAAAAAAGACATGTAAACAAACTTAACACAACAGAACCATTAAATAGAACAGAACTTTGAAAAAAATCTGTGCATATTTCTATTTATGTCATGACAAATGGTAATGGATATGACCAGTGTTAAGTTTAGTCTTGGCAGAGTAATTCTGCTATGCTGCTGCTGCAGAGAAAGTATGGGACTTGCTACTGCCAATACGGACATGACACGTTGCTGTGTAGATATGCTGCTGCTGTACAATAGCATACATGAATTACCCCCCAACAAAGCAGGTGACAATGAAGTTTGGACAAAAGCCTAGTGTACATTATGCGAAAATCCCCCTACATGCACCCACCCATTGTCAAGACAAAAGTACTGATGCTGTTCCGTAGAGCATAAGAACAGAATGTATGCTATCTATATGTGCCGAATGGCTTAAGACTAATGCACACCAACAGTGCACTTTTTTATGTCTCCCTTATCTAACCCATATATTTTTGGTCTTGTAGTCTCATTTATTAATGAGATTTATTAATTATTCTATTAATGAGCTGATGAGTTGAATCGGGTGTGCTTGATTAGGAAGTATGTGTATGTGTATGAAAATGTGCAGTATTGGTGTGCGTCCAGGAAAAGCGCTGGAAAACAGTGAGGTATTTCTCAATCAGCTCCCTAGTACAGTACTCAGGACACTGATCAGGGAGCCTGCCATTTTAAGGGCTGTCTCAATCGCAGGATCCTTCAAGGGCACTGAAACGTTCGCTTCCTAAAAAGTCCCGCAATGCACCGTGAGAACAAGGGAGCATCAATGCTCACTATGCTCCCTTAACAGAAGTTCTGAAGCACAAAACATAAATCACGTGAGCCAACTTACTACACATAATGACACGTGATAGATATTTTTAAAAAACACAAACCATTATTTTATTTCAGCATAAGGATACGTCATTAGACAGGTAATGAACATAATCTAGCTAATATTTATTAGCTAGATTATGCTGCACGTATATGTAACAAGCAAAGTATTTAATACTTTGTCCAGATGGCATCTCGGCACAGGTGCTGAAGAACTACTTTTCACTTACTCTTCAGTGAGGCTTACTTTACTGCCACCATACCTTCCATCTGGAAAATGTCCATCATAATCCCTGTCCCCAAGAAGTCACGGCCCATGGAGCTCAACCACTACCGACCTGTTGCCCTCACATCTATAATTGTGAAATGCCTGGAGAAACTGTTGCTGAAAACCATCTTGCCAGCTGTTAATTTACAACTGGACCCCCTCCAATTTGCCTATAAGGCTAAAAGGGGCATAGAGGATGCTGTAGCCTGTCTGCTGCATCTCCTCCTTCAGCACCTGGATTCTCCTCGCAACTTTGCTTGGATATTTTTGTGGACTTCAGCTCTGCATTTAATTCCATCCAAAGCCATCTGATGATTCAGAAGCTGCATCACCTCAATATCCCCACTCGGCTGATTCATCTTATACACAATTTCCTTAGCAACAGGCAGCAAGTAGTACGAATTGGCTCAACTACATCTTCTGCTCTCACCATCAACACTGGAGCACCGCAGGGCTGTGTGTTAAGTCCTTTCTTGTATACACTTTACACAAACGATAACATCAGCCCATCAACCAGCATAAAATACTTAAAATATTCTGATGCCACAGCCATTCTTTGCCCTGCTCAAAGATAACTCCATTATTGTCTATCACATCACTGTTATGCACTTTGCCCAGTGGTGTGAGGATAACTACCTGAATCTCAATGTCAGTGAGACAAGAGCTGATAGTTAGTCCCCCTTCACTCCAGCACCCTATTTTTATTCATAATCAAACAGTTGAAACAGTGGACAGCTTCAAATATCTCAGAGTAACATTGGACAACACACTTACCTTTGATCAGCACATTAGGACATTCAGAAAATAAGTCACCAAAGACTGTCAGTCATTCATAAACTTAAAGGACTTAATGTTGCTCCTCGATTATTATTGCTACTTTATCAAAGCATCATTCAGTCATCATTCTGTTTTTTTAAACATGCTCTCTGTTAAAAACCGGACCAAACTCACAAAGGTGTCCAATATTGCTGCGAAAGTTATAGGTCTTCCAACACCCAATCTCATAGAACTCAATAATAGAGCTATTACACGCATCGCAATTTCAATAGAACAGGACTCCACACATCCACTTAATGAGTATTTAGCCCCACTGCCCTCAGGGTGCAGGTAAAGGGCACTGAGGTGCAGGAGGGCCCGCTTTGGAAGAAGCCTGACATCGCTGAGTGTTGCTGATTGAGAGCTGATTGAGACAAACCCAGATTTATGACAGAACTTTGTATTTATGTAGTATATTTGGATCATTGCTGTTAGTTACATAGTCATGTCTTAATAATTTTAAGAACTCTTTACATTCTTTATCGATGTCTTCTAGGTCTTATCCCTGTTAAAAAATCCAGCATTGCTGGTCACCAGCATAATGTATGTTTTGCATGCTGGGACCAGCATTAGATGCAGATAGCTTGTTTGCTAGTTCCTAGCATGGGACGCTGGTTGCTGGTTTGGTGGTGACACATTTTATTGTGTACACTTTTTAGAATCAGTTACTGACAGCTGGATTTTGACACGTGATCATATCTCTTTTCTCTAAATGTTTTTGGTTTGGAATATACACTAGCTCTTTTTTAACTGATTTGTGTAGAGAGCCTTTGAAACAGACAGATGCTTCGATTGTTTGCTACATTTCGTCAATTTGAATGTTTATTGTTACACAAAAGAGAACTCAGTGTGGTACTGGTGCGCTGTCTGTGAATCTCCTTTCTGTTAGATACATACAGAAAGCTGCTTCAGACAGCGCGCCAATAATGCATTGAGTTCTCTTTCGTGCTTGAATAGACAAAAACACACAGTTATGCCAAAATGTCAGTTTTGTTGAGTATCCTCGTCTTAAATGAGTTAAAGTCTTAAATTAATGTAAAGAGTTTAGCCTAGTCATTCACGCCTCAGAGCTGAAAAGGTCTCAAGAAATGGGATTGTAAAGTAGGGGTGTGCACAAATAGTCGAATATTCGATCTGTAATTATTATTGGAAAAATGAAAACACTATTCGAATTTTACTACATGTTGTTTTGTTGGCCGTAAATGCAGGGAATCCATGATAAATCCTAAGCAAGCAAACTAAAAGTCAGATATACGAATGATATAAATGTACGTTGTTGGAGACAGGGCGGGTTATGAACGCGTAATATGATTGACATGAGCAGTGAATGAGCTTCCTCTGAGTCAGAACAGTGATCACGGAAGAGAAAACAGACTGAGAGTGCTGGAAGCTGCTAATGCTCATCAGTAAATCAGTGGAAAATTAATAGAAATGATGATTCTGTCTAAGCTTCGCATTTTAAAACAAAAATTTGAACTTTGTTAAAACTATTTGCACTCATTTATTGTGTTGGTTACATTTTGTTCCTTTGTGCTTTTTTGATCCTTTGTGCAGTGGCTTTTAAGTCTATAAAAATGTCAATAAGCTGAAAAAATAAAACCAAAATGTTTTTTTGAGGTAATTGAATCTTGTTCAAATTGATTTCATAAAATTGGTATCAGAAAAAGTATCTTTCAGGAAACGGTATCGAAGTCAGGGTATCGGTATCAGTATCAATATTGAAAATGTTTGAACGATACCCAGCCCTACATACACCTCACTTTTAGTGACACTGGTTCAACTTTGTCCTGTTTTCCATTAATAATAGACATAATGAGTGCTATTGTTGTTTTCAATGATGTGCAACCTGTACATATCGGTTAACGTCTCAAAAAATGCTGTGCTAACTGATTTGGAGCGGCCTCTAGAGGCGGAATCATGCTGTTTATTGTGACATGTGAGGCTGCACACTGCACAGAGAGCGCTGATACTTCAGATGTGCATTTAAAACACACACAGTAAAAGAGTATGAATACGCAACACTACAGTACATGTTGTCATCATTATGAAGTAATTAACTTGCCAACTAAATTCTGCATTAGTGAAGAAAGAACAGCAGTAGCCTATGTTTGCCGTCAAGGCTGAATTCATTAGCTGGCGAAGTTGCATATTTAGTGAGAAAGCAAATTGTCCATGCAGCTGACAAAAACATATAAATAAATTAGGAACACATTCCGATTTCAGTTCTTTTTTATCGTCACTGCAGTACACGGCAATATTTTATTTTGATTAGATAATTAGGGCCCTATGATTTCCGCGATGCAGAAAACGCGGACAGAATCACTGAATCCAATAAAAAATATATAATTTACTCTATAACACAGAATGTCATGGAAATTTTTATTTTTTTTATCTTTTAGAAAAAACAACAACAACATACAATCACATCTAAACAACAGAACAGTCATTTGGTTACCTATACATTCTTACATAAACATATTGATGGAAGTATATCTCAGATGATACAGCAGACAATAGCCGTGTCATAGAATCATAAACACAATCCATTTTTCCCAATACTGTAAGTATTTATTCATCCTAAGTTTAATGCGAACGTCATCCTCTCCATGTTTTGGACACGGTTCACAATGTCCAGCCATTCAGTCTTTGTTGGAGGTTCTAATTGTAGCCACTTTCTTGTTACAGCTTTCTTACTGGCTGCTAATAATATCTTTAAAAGGTATTTATCTTTCTTCATCAAATGAGCTGCTAAATTGCCCAGATAAATTGTAGAAAAAGAACAATCAATTCCCTCACCGAAAATGATATGTATTACTTGTATTA